CTTTCGTGACCACGGGCCGAGAGTCTTTGCTACATTTTGGCATTTAGCAACTGGCATACGGTTTAATGTGAAGTCAACAACAACAATAACAACCTCCCGACCTAGTAGATTTTTTTTGAGGTGGGGGTCTGCTGTACATACACGTCGTGCCCCCGCCAGCGAGTTTTTTTAATTTACCACGCAACGTGGTGCAGCGTGCCACGAGTTGCATGCCGTGCAGGGGGATCATGTCCCTGTCCAACCCCTTATCCCATGGATTGTTGAAGGACCTTGGCAACCTCTCGGAGTTGAAACAACGAGGACTGATTCTTGACCGTCACTTCGAGACGATAAAGGCACATGTGAAGGCGGGCAACTCCGTTGCGAAGGAGCGATGGGACGCAATCGAAAACGCATGGGGGCTGAAGCAGACGGGTGTCTTCAACGAACAAGAGTGGATCACGCAGATTGATGGAGAGGCCCAGGGTATTACCAGCAGCAGCACCCGTCCGTCGTTTTAAACGCCACAAGATGCGGGTGGCGCGCGAGGTGCACCGTCTTCGCACCCACCGCCTGCTACTGCTGCGGCTGCCGGGAAGAGAAAGAAAGGTCGCAGATCGGGGGAAGCAAGCCAGGGATCGAGCTGCCCAAGGTGTTCTAGGTGGCAACATCATCAACGCGTTCGCTCGTGGCAGCGGAAAACCGGTGAGTTCAGTCATCTGACGAACTCTGTTGCTGTGATGATGTACATATATGCAGCCGTCGTACGGTGGTCCAGCAGCTGTATGTAGTGTAAATACAGCAGGAGTGCTACTGCTGCTGCTGTGGAGAACACCTTCATAAAGGTTGAAACTCCCCAACGTCTGTCGAGGACGAAGCCCTCGTTTCCACAATGGCGTCGACAAGAGTTGACAGATGTCTGCATTTGGGTGCAAAAGACACGGGTTCAAACCCCGCTGCTCCCCTAATTTTCTTCCGGAGTTGTTGTTGTTGTTGTCTTCATATTAAACCGTATGTCAGTTGCTAAGGGTGTGTCTTATCAGGCCACAAAAATACGTATTTGGTTACGAAACCGTATTTTCTTGAAATATATGGAGGCGTTCCTCTACATTTCCGTAAAAGAGCAAGGCGTATTTTTTGGGGGCTTGCTCCTTTTACTGTTCGGTGAAAAATTTCCCGCTTTTTTGCGACTACCGGAGCAGACACCGGTCACGCGTGCTGTCTTCATCACACCACACCTAGACAGCACCAACAACACCCCAAAGTGCTTCCCAAGGCAACTCCACTACCATGCCTGAGCGTGGGAAGCGTCAAGATCCCAGGGGGATCGCAGCGCAACGCCGGGAGAAGCGCCGTCGGCGAGCTATCGACGAGGAGGATGTACGTCGAGCCGTGGCGCTTTCCGTAAATTTTGAAAAAAATACGCACCTTCGCGCCTTCTGCCGATAAGAACCACTGGAAACCCTAGTTACGGTTCCGTGAGAAAAGTTACTGTTCGGTAAAATAAGTCACGTTTTTTTTCGGCCTAATAAGACACAGCCTAAATGCCAAAATCTAGCAAAAGACTCGCCCGTGGTCACGACAGTGCTAGAGCCATCTGAGGATCTAAAGAACACACACACATATAACGAGAAAAAGGTATCTAAGGGCCCGAAGAGGTACACCTAAAAATCCCTGCAGCACCGTATGCGTGCCCAAAAACTGAACTGCACGTACGTCCGTCCCACCGTTCGACTACAGTAGCATCACCCCCTCCC